GTGTGGGAGCCGATGGAGTGGTGCTAGGGGGTGGGTGTGTGGGAGCTGACGGAGTGGTGCTAGGGTGTGGCGTGTGAGCAGAGTTAGAGGTGCAGCAGGGGGTGTGTGAAAGGGGGGTGAGACAGTTAGAGGGAGGATGGGCGGAGGCAACCGTTGTGTCGCCAGCAGCGCCAGTAGTCCGGAGGCTACAATCTCCGGTAGCCCAGTCGTAGTCAGCTGCGCCAGTCGCCCGTGGGTCCGTTGCTCCTGCCGCTCAGAGTTAGCCGCCGAGCCAGTTACTCCTGTAGTCCGGGGCCTTTGCTCCGGTAGCCACTGTGCGCGCCGACTCCTGTTGCCCGTGTGTCTGCAGCTTCAGCCGTCGCCTCCTATCTCCTCTCCTCTTACAGTCCCGCCTCCTCCTCACTTGCCCTCTGTGATAGCCTCTAGCTTTGCTTATATCTGTGACCTTTAAACTGTTGCTTGTGCTCAGAATGTGTGGTGACATTGTGATCCACCCTGAGCTTATTTTGCTTTTCTTCTTGTGCTGATTACACCCCACTTCGACTATGGGGGTGTGTCAGAATATTATGTTTCTCTAGTCTGCAGTGGGGTACTCTATAGTGAGTACAACCTTTTTAGGGTTTGCTATATGTATCCCAATGTTTGCTAGTGAACCTCACTTCCGCTCACATCTTCTCTCATTCCTGTTCCTTTCACAATTACGGGCGGATACTACAATCTACGAGTAGCGCTAACACCCCCGCAGCATGAAGCGCCTTAGCGAGGAGAAACAGAAGCGCACCATGCAGCGAATTGCGGAGGGGCGTAGTTACTGCCAAATCGCGCAGGAGTTGGGAGTTTCAAAGTCTGCCGTCCATGACGAGCTCCTCCGCCACCTCGGTCCGAAAACGTTCGACGAGCTAGTGCCGTCCCCGGCGAAACCTGGTCGGCCGCGCAAGTTACCAGAGCAAATCGCGAGGATAATTATAAGGTCGATAGTGTCTGGTGAATCGAAATCCGCCAAGGCCGCAGCGGGAATGATATCCTCTACGCACGGCATCAGTGTCACGGGCGCCACCGTGCGAAACACTCTCAAGCGGCACAGCGTTAGGGCGATAGAAAAGTCGTCGAAGCCTAGATTATCCGCGAAAAATGTCAAGGACCGCAGGCAGTGGGCCAAGGACCATCAACACTGGACGATCGACGACTGGAAACGCGTGGTGTGGAGCGACGAAACGAAGATCTGCCGGTTTAGTAGCGACGGCCGTAGTTGGGCCTGGATTAGGGAGGACTGTCACATGGAGCCGCACCATGTGAAACAGACCGTCAAACATGGCGGCGGCTCCATCATGATTTGGGGGTGCATGACATACAACGGCGGGGGTTTCATGTGCAAGATAGAGGGAAGAATGAACGGCGAGTTGTACCGTTCAATCCTGCAAGACGAGCTGCTGCAGACTATTGAGCATTACGAGTTGGATCCCGAGACCGTTGTGTTCCAGCATGACAATGACCCGAAGCATACATGCAAGATGGTCAAAACATACCTTGCCGAGCAGCCGTACTCTGTGCTCCCATGGCCAGCATCTAGTCCGGACCTCAACCCCATAGAACATCTGTGGGTTTACTTGAAGAAGCAGCTGCTTGCTTACCCCCGCCCCCCTGCAGGCATTCTCGAGCTATGGGACAGAGTACAAGTGGAATGGGAGAAAATCCCTGCGGCTTGGTGCAGTGAGCTGATCGACAGCATGCCTAGGCGTGTGCGGGCTGTGCTCAAGGCCAAGGGTCGCTGGACCAAGTACTAGATTCTGCTTGGTTTGCATGTGTGACTGTAATTGTAAAAAACTGTCCTTATGCTAGTATTTGCCTATTTCTATATTCGCTGATTGTTTAACCGAGTTTATGACCAACATGCAGCGTGTTTAGATGTACAGCCCTTCGGGCTTTAACCTCATGTGGTCCAGTTATTAAGGCTTAATCACCATGGCCACTAATGCCCGTTCATGTCTTGAAACATGAACATGTGGACAATTATTTCGTTCAGTGTACAAGCGAGCGCGCTGCTGTCATCTACGGGTGCAACGCTGGATAGCCGCCTTGCTGCAGCGTTGGCACGTCGTCGGCCTACTATGTTGGCAGGCCGCGTTTTTGCAGTGCTGGAGCGGCTCCTATACACAACGCTGTGCTGGCGGTCGACCAGCTGCCCTGCTAGGTTGTTAGGCTCTGATGTAGTCCTTCTTACCATTGCTTGTTCTATCATTCTGTAATCCCAACTTTGCTAGTGAAACTCTTGCCAATTCTTCTCGTGAATGTGCAAGTGCTAAGGAACGCAAGCAAAGCTACGATCACACTCATACAACTCGTGCCAACCCCATAGTCTAGCTCCTGACTGTTGTAGAGTGGATCTCCTCATGGTGCGGTAAGCGTGGAACGAACACGCGACCTTTAGATAGGAGCCGATTTTTGCACCTACTAAGTCGTTCGTAAGCCGGCAGCCCGTGCGAACCATGACGCCTACCCCGGCAGCAGCCAGTGCGGTAGAGGACACCTTGGAGGCTCGATTGGATGATGCGACGAGACGCCGTGGAGATGGCGAGTTCGGGACGGTGCTCACCTTGGAGGTGGTCCTCCTGGGGATCCGAGCGAAGTGGGCGATGGAACACCCCTCCTGACCTGCATCTCCTCGATCGGTGCGAAACGAAGGCGGCGTCAACGAGGAGGTCGGCGGTGGTGCACAAGTCAGCGGCAGTGTGGGCACGAAGAAGAGAGGTGTGATCAAGGTCGACGGTGGCGTCGACGGGAGCCAGGCGCGAGTGCAGCGCTCGACGGTGGCTGCAGGGAGCTCACATGCCAACGTCGATGGTCAACGTCGCTCTCCCCAACGAAGCAGTGGGAAGCCCACGTTGACGACGCACGTGATGGCGGGCGGGATCGCGCCGGCGTATGGCTACTTCAAATTCTCGAAGGAAAAAATCACCGTCACGCCACTGCAAGGTTGACGGGACCTCATCACGTGGAGGGAGGCGATTGAGCCTCAATTGGAGATTGCCGGGCTGATGGGATTTGCCGACGGCAACGTGCCAACGCCGGACGCGGACGATGTCGAGTTGCTGGCGGAATTTCGTGCCGCACACCTGCTGACCTTCATGGTCATCTCGAGGTGCTGCTCGTTGGTGGTGCAGATAGCGCTGAAGGCGTGTCGACAATGAATGGACGCTGGTCACCAAGCGTGGTGGTTCATCCTGTCGACCTACCAGGCGACGGACGACCTGTACATCGGTCACCTGGAGGAGCAGACCACTCACCTCAGGATGGGCGAGCAAGAGTTGGCGATGGACTACTGCAACCGTGTTCGACGAATGCTGGCCGAAATGCGGATGGCGGGCGTCGACTACTTCACGGCGTCCTACATCACGCACATCGTCAAAGGCTTGCCGAGCGGCTACAACCTCATGCGCCGGACCCAGCATGCGTGAGTCGCTCGACAAGGACACCCTCACAAGCTACATCATTAGGGATGAGGCGACGCAGGAGGCAGAGCGTCCCACGGAGCTCCTTCCGCGGGCAAGCTACGCCGCCCCGACAAAGCAGAGTCGTCAACCGAGGCAGCACGTGAAGCTAGGCGGAGGTGGTAACGGAGGTGGGAGGTCGACGAAGGACATCGACCAGGCGAAGTCGACGCATGACAAGGGTCATGCTGGTGGTGGTCGACGGCGGGGGTGCTAGATCTACGGCGACCCCGACCACCTCTCCTTCAAAAGCCCTGACCGCGACGACAGCGACGAGGACGACAACAAGGGAGGCAGCGGACGGTCGGCCAGTCGTCGCCCCCACCGAGACGAGAAGTCGCGCAAGGAGAAGCAGACGTCGAAGAAGGCGTCGTCGACAAAGGACGTCGATTCCTCCAGCGGCAAGGGCCGAGGCGACGCGGAAGCGTCGTGCTCGATGGCCGGCGTGGTGGAGCCGACAGTCTCGTTGGCGCCGGAGGCTAACGAGGACGTCAAGGCGGTCGCGGCCGCCGTGCAAGCAAATCCGATGGTGCTGCTGCTCAACAGTGGTTGCTCACACCACCTAATGGGGACGAAGAAGTTCTTCGTCGACATGGCGCCGAGCAGCGACTTGAAGCATGTGCACAACTTCAACGGGGCTCTGCAGACCGTCGAGGGCCGCGGTACTATCGCTCTGCAAGGGGAGGCCGAGAAGAAGGTCCTCATCCCTGACATGCTCTACTTTCTGGGTGTGCAGACGAACCTGCTGTCAGCCGGTCAGTTGCAGGAGAGCGGTGTGAAGTTGCAAGACGTCGGCGACGAGATGCAGCTCGTGTCGAGTGCAGGGGAGATACTCGGTCGAGCACGCTACACTGGCTGCGTCCTCTGCACCGATCTTCGCCCCTACTCGACGTGGTTGCTGTCGACCGAGGTGGTGGCTCTGCGGACGATCACCTCAACGACGAAGTCGACCCCCGACCGGTGGCATGCAAGGCTCGCGCACGTCGACACGATCAAGAGCTCGGCGAATTACGACGGGTTGTTGCCAAGGATGGCAGCTTGTACTTCCTCCTGCTGAAGGACCGCCACACTCGATTCGTGTGGGTGAAGCCAGATGCTAAGAAGAGCGACGTTCTGCGGGTGTTCGAGAAATGGCTGCTGGTGGTGGAGCAACAGACGAAGAAGACGGTGTTGATGCTCCGTTCTGACCGCGGAGGGGAGTTCCTCGGGCGGGAATTCACCAACTTCGTCGACAGGAAGGGCATCGTCCACGACTTGACTTCCTTGTACACTCCGCAACAGAATGGCATGGCTGAGCGGGAGATGCGCACGGTCGTCGAATCCGTGCGGACGATGCAGCTGCACATGAGCGTGCAGCACCACTGGTGGCACTTCGCCCTGCGGCAGGCCGCCGCCATGCCATGGAGGGTGCGCAAATGCTTGGAGCGGTCGACACCGTCGCCGGGGACGACACCGTATCAGTTGCTGACTGGCAAGAAGCCCGATCTCACACTGGTGTAGGTGTGGGGCTGCATGGTGCAGTTCATGGTCCCCGAGCAGCAGTGCTGTTGGAAGCTGATGTGAGAATATTGACGAGAGAATGATGAGAAAGGATGAATGCAGCAATTGGGTACATATAGGAAACCCTAACAGGGTTGTACTCACTATGGAGTACCCCACTGCAGACTACAGAAACATGATATTCTGACACACCCCCATAGTCAAAGTGGGGTATGATCAGCACAAGAAGCAAAGTAAAGCAAAGACAAGCTCAGGGTGGATCACAATGTCACCACACATTCTGAGCACAAGTACAAGAAGTGACAGTTTATAGTTCACAGCAAATAAGTAAAGCTAGAGGCTATCACAGAGGGCAAGTGAGGAGGAGGAGGCTGGACTAATAGGAAAGGAGAGAGGAGGCAACGGCGGAAGCTGCAGACACACGGGCACCAGGAGCGGCTCGCACTGTGGCTACCGGAGGCGCACCTCCGGACTACAGGAGTAACTGGCTCCGCGGCTAAGACGAGCGGCAGGAGCAACGGACCCACGGGCGACTGGCGCAGCGGCATCACTGGGCTACCGGAAGCGCACCTCCGGACTACTGGCACTGCTGGCAACACGACGGCTACCTCCACCCAACCTCCCTCTACTGCCGCACCCCCCATTCACACACCCCCTGCTGCACCCCTAGGTTCACTCACACTCCACCCCCTAGCACCACTCCGTCGACTCACACACACCCACCCCCCTCAGCGGCAGCTGCAGCAGTGGGAGACGGAGTAGGAGGAGGAGCAGAGGATGCCACACACCCGCCACCCCCATACCCTCCCCCACTGCTGCACCTGCAGCAGGGGATGGAGGAGAAGGGGGGGGGGGGTGCTGTGCATGGCGCGTGCAGAGGGCAGCAGGGCGCACGGGGCGCACAGGGCAGCAGGGCAGCAGGGCGCACGGGGGGGGGGGCAGGCAGGTGCTGCAGGTCCCCTCCCCCCACTGCCGCATCCGCACCAGGGGGATGGCAGATCCCCTCCCCCCAACTGCTGCACCCACCAGGGGGGTGTGCTGTGCATGGCGCGTGCAGAGGGCAGCAGGGTGCACGGGGCGCACAGGGTAGCAGGGCAGCAGGGCGCGCGGGGCGCACGGGGCTGCAGGGCGCGCGGGGCAGCAGGGCAGCAGGGCGCACGGGGCGCACAGGGCAGCAGGGCGCAGCAGGTGCTGCAGGTCCCCTCCCCCCACTGCCGCATCCGCACCAGGGGGACGGCAGATCCCCTCCCCCCCACTGCTGCACCCGCAGCAGGGGGAGGGAGATAAGAAAAGGGCGGAGAGGAGGGGGGGGGGGGGGGCTGGTGCTGCAGGTCCCCTCCCCCCCTGCCGCAATCGCCGCAGGGGGATGGCAAATCCCCTCCCCCCCACTGCTGTACCCGCAGCAGGGGGAGGTAGGAGAAGGGTGGGGGACCTGGTGTTGCAGATCCCCTCCTGCCTCCCCCTGGACCTCCAAGCTTCCCCCCCTTCTCCCCGCCATCCCCATGGAAGGGGGGGGGGGGGGGGGGGGGCGGCTGCTCCAGGGGCCAGGGGCGGCTGCTGAGGTCCAGGAGCGGCTGCACCAGGGGCGGCTGCTCCAGGGGCGGCTGCACCAGGGGCGGCTGCTCCGACGCGTGGCCCCCCCCCAGGTCGCCCCTCCCGTCGCCTGTTGAGGCGACCTGAGGGGGGGGGGGAGGAGTACGGGGGCCGACGCGCGGCCTCCCAGGGCGCCAGAGCAGGCGGAAGAAGGGGCGACGCGCGCCCCCCCAGCGCCCCCCCCCCCCCCCCGCTCGCCACGCAAGGCGACGGGAGAAGGGGGGGGGGGCGGTGCACGGGCCCCTGGTTCGCCACGACCGGCATGAGGGCGGGGCCTGGGTCGGGGCAGGTCCGGGACAGGGCCGGGACGGGGCCGAGGAAGGGCCGGGGCAGGCCGCGAAGGGGCCTAACGGGCCGCGAAGGGGCTGCGACAAGCCGCGACGGGGCCTAACGGGCCGAGAAAGGGGCCGGGCAAGGGCCTGGGCGGGCCGCGAAGGGGGGCCGCGACGGACCTAACGGGCCGCGACAGGGTCGGGGCAGGGCCGGGGTCGGGGCAGGTCCGGGACAGGGCTGGGACGGGGCCGAGGAAGGGCCGGGGCGGGCTGCGAAGGGGCCTAACGGGCCGCGAACGGGGCCTGACGGGGCCGCGAAGGGCCTCACTAGGGGCCGCGAAGGGGCCTTACGAGGGGGCCGCGAAGGGGCCTAACGAGGGGCCGCGAAGGGGGGCCGTACGAGGGGCCGCAAAGGGGCCTTACGAGGGGCCTTACGAGGGGCCGCGAAGGGGCCGTACGAGGGGCCGCGAAGGGCCTTACGAGAGGCCGCGAAGGGGCCTAACGAGGGGCCGCGAAGGGCCTTACGAGGGGCCGCGAAGGGCCGTTAAGGACAGGCGCGACGCGCGCCTAGGGTAGGAAAAAGTTTCAGTGGTGACGTGGTGGGCCCTTAGGAAGGATCGATATATGCTCTATACCATGTAAGAATATTGACGAGAGAATGATGAGAAAGGATGAATGCACTAGAAAGCAATTGGGTACATATAGGAAACCCTAACAGGGTTGTACTCACTATGGAGTACCCCACTGCAGACTACAGAAACATGATATTCTGACAGCTGACGCCAAAGGCTCGCTGGGGACTTCACCTGGGGGTGTCACCGGAGAGCAAGGGTTGGGAGGTGCTCGACTTGACCGACAACAAGGTGGTCACATTGGCAGAGGTCATCTTCTACGAGACGATGTCGCTGGAGGTGTGGAAGGTGAAGTACGGGCCTGCGTCGGGGCGGACGGAGGTCCACTCGTCGACAGACACCTCGAAGGTGATGTTCCCGCTGCTCGCCGAGGTCGACGAGCCTGCTGATGAGGACGTCAAGTGTCACAGGATCGAATTTCCACTCGAGAATGTTGCACTAAAGGTGAGTACAAGGCGTATTTATACTCAGAAATACATAGAAACAACAGATAATCCGAACCTTCGGGAACGCACTCTTCTAGAATAGATAATCACAAGTGCGCATAAGCACGCAAGCCCATTGGCACTTCGGATTATGGCAAGATTACGCCTTGTACACCACTGTCGGTGCTGTCGGTGCCGTATAATGTAAATGTCGGTGCCGAAAATACCAAATAAGTGAAATAATCGGAAAGCTCTAGAAAATAGAATAGTAGTCCGATTGAGGTGAAATAAAGTGCAAATGAAAGAGGAAAATAAGGAGAATGAGATGGAGTAAAAATATGGAAATGAGAAATATGTCGAACGTCGGCGTACTCTCACATCAAGGAAGTTGTGCCCTCCCCTTCTCCTCCTGTTCGTGTTGCTCCGCCCCTTGTCACCGATTTGCTGGTGTCAACCACCGGCGATGAGGGGAGCCTTGAGGAGTCGACTGTGGTGCCGGCCAGTGGCATCGCCGGCGGTTGACGTGCGACCGAGATTGTCGACGTGAATGTGCAGCTGTCAACGACAGCAGGTGCAGAAGAAAGCAGCAGAATTGCCGCTGCCAGGAGAGCAGCTCAAGGGGAAGTCGACAGGGGAGCTGTCGACGAAAGAGAAGTTGGCGAACGAGCCGACGAGAGGGGGAGCACCCGGTCGAGGGGCAGATGCTGGTGAAGCAGCTCGTCGACGACGATATTGTCAACGATGAAGGGGGGCTGTCGACAGGGGAAGAGTCTACCGACAGTGATGTGGTGGAGGTTCCGGTCGAGAAGCCGGATCTGCGACGCTCAGGCCGAAGTCGGAAGCCGACGGAGCGGCTGATTTTTCACGCCTATCTGCCACCAGCCACCTTCACCACGCTGCTTGACGACGTTGAGGCCGATGTCAACCTTCCGGAGCTCGACCCAGACGTGCACGCCGACCCCGATCACCACTTGGACATCGCGACGATGACGGTGAAGGAGGCGTTGGCGAGCTGTAAGTGCAAGGCGGTGAAGGCCGCCATGAACGAGGAGATCCGCAGCCTCATTGGCATGGGCATGTGGGAGCTGGTCGAACGCCCGCGTGGGGTGAACATCATGAAGAACTGGTGGGTCCTGATGACGAAGTACCACATCAACGACACAGTTGCCTGCAAGAAGGCGCGCTTGGTCGTGAAGGGCTTCACGCAGGTGTACGGCGCTGACTACGACGAGACGTACGCTCTGGTCAGCAGCTACGTAACGCTGAGGATCTTCCTCAGCATCGTCGCCGTTCTCGACCTAAACCTGATGCACATCGACATGAAGAACGCCTTCCTGCAGAGCAAGCTCGACAGGGTGCTGTACATGTACCAGCTGGACTACTATGACGATGGGACCGGCCGGGTGTGCAAACTAATGAAGAGTCTGTACGGGCTGAAGCAAACGCCGCTACTGTGGTTCAAGGCGCTCGACGCCGTGCTGACTGGCGCCGACTGGAAGAAGAGCCAGGTCGATGATGCGCTGTACTTCAAGGTCGGCGATGACGGTGTGACGTGCTGGGTGCTCGTCTACGTCGACGACCTGCTCGCCGCCAGCAGCAGCACCGCGATGCTGAAGGAGCTGCTCGAGGCTGCCCTTGAGCTGCGTGAGATCAGCCCGATCGAGAGGTACCTTGGGCTGTAGATCGTGCGCGACAAGCCGGCGAGGAAGCTGTGGTTGCACCAACAGTTGTACGCTGACAAGCTGCGTAGACGCTTCATTGACGAGGAGCAGACCGGGCGGATCCCAAAGACATCGGTCTCCGTCGACGCCTACGCCGAGCTGACGTTCGACGACGTGCTCAGGCGCGTGAGGAGGAGTACCTGCAGAAGGTCGGCTCGCTGCAGTTTGCGGCGACAACGACAAGGCCGGACATCGCTTTCGCGTGCAGCAAGCTGGGGAGCGGCCTCACGGTGAGGAGCGACCAACACTAGCGCGAGCTCGATCGCTGCCTCGCCTACCTCACCGACAACCGTGACACCGCCCTAGAGTTTGGCGGTGGACCAGAGTCGCTGAGTCTGGTTGGTTACGTGGACGTCGACGATGCCGGCAACAAGCAGAACCGGGCAAGCACATGAAACTATGTGTTCGTTTTGGGAGGGGCCGTTGTCTCCTGTTTGAGCCAGCGCATCAAGTGCGCGACGCTCTCGTCGAATGAGTCGGAGTACGTGGCGGCCGCAAAAGCCGGCAAGGAGGGACACCGACTTCGCTTCCTCCTTGCGGAGTTCACGCTGCTCCAGGTGGACAACACGCCGGCCATCACGGTCGCTGGGGGATTGGGGCTGAAGGGCAACCTCAAGCACATGGAGCAACGCTACGCCTGGCTACAGTAGATGGTGAAACGCAGGAAGTCCATACTGCGGTACATCCCGACCAGCAGCCCGTCGACTTCTAGACGAAGGCGCTGCACTTTCCGGCCTTCAGCCGGTGCTCCGTCGCGATCGGCCAAGTGCGCTTGGCCGAAATCGGCGACGGTGACGACGAAGTGCAGCAGTAGGTGCCATGCCCTTCTGCATGGCTGGTGCGGTTACGGCGTGCTGTGTGTGGAGTGCACACCGACGACGAGTTTTCTCCGTGTAGTTCTGCCGTGCGGGTTGGGGGCCCAAGCGAGAGCGCATCAGGGGAGTGTTGATGGGAATGGAGTGTTCGCCCCACCCTTGCTTGGGCGAAGCCGACGTAGTGGTCGGGTGCGCGGGAGGTGCGACTGACCATCCGCAGAGTTCGACGCATGCAGGTCGCCGAAGTTGGTCGACCTGCAGGGAGCCGCAGAGATGTCGCCGCCAAGGGAAGCCGGCGGCCTAGTTCGACAGGGCAGGTCGACGAAGCAGTCCGTCGACTTGCGCAGGTCTGTCGAGGAGTCGTCGAGGATAGGAGCTCGATGGCAGCAGCAAACCGTGCTGGTCGACGGATTCGACGGAGTAGTGGTCGACAAGAGAGGTCGTCGACCAGGGCACCGGGTGGTCGATCCGATCGACCAAGTTACCTCAGCGAGGTTCTGCGGAGGCACGCGAACGACATCGAGGCCACGATGGCGAAGGCAACTTCGGGCTGGTATCCCGAAGTCGATGTGGCTCGTCAGGCGCAGACAACAACCGACAGATGCGTGACGGTGCATGTCAGGCCAATCGTCTGCGCGCACCTGCAAGCGAGCGCGCTGCTGTCATCTACGGGTGCAACGCTGGACAGCCGCCTTGCTACAGCGTTAGCACGCCGTCGACCTGCTCTATTGGCAGGCCGCGTTTTTACAGTGCTGGCGTGGCTCGTCTACGCAACTCTGGCAGGCGGTCGACCATGCTGTGCAGGCAGTCGACCGGCTGCCTTGCTAGG